CAGTGACCATTTTTGCTTTTTGTTTTCATTGTAAAGAGACAGAATTCCATCCCCTGTAAGATACTGTAATTAAATTTCCGGCATCTTCTAACAACTCACACTGCCTCGGTGTTCTGGTTGTGCTGCAATAAAATGCACTGAGGAAAACTAATCTAGTTTCCAACCTTAATTAAGAGAGTACTGTTATATGCAGCAACATATAGTCCCTGAATCCTCCAAAGCTCAGCAAACACATAAATTCCTCAGTGCTTGAGTTGGTGCCAGCACACAGGCACATAAGCACCAGAATCAACATCACCAGCTCATAATTTTTAATGGCTGTTGTTGGTAAGGTGCTAGGCACCATAATGGACACGCATAGTCAAACTTGATAATGATGCTGTTTCTCACCTAAGGACTCCATGCAAGCAGGGGTCTTAAGGAAATGACAGAGGGATGGAAAAAAAAAAGGTTTAGGAAGTAAGGAAAATTTGCAAAGACCATGCATAAACAACAGGTATTTGTCCTCAGATAGATTGCTATATAACTCTTTCTGAAATAAGATTTTAAAATACAAGCAGGAAGAAAGATCATCTTTATAGAGCAGAACCACAGAGACTCTATTAAAATTAGTTGATTAGGGCTCACTTTAGTAACACATAAAATTGATTGACTTCTTAACATTTTGTAGATGTTTAAGGCTTAAGATCTGATAGGGTAAATTTGAGCATATATTGGTAAAAGTTTACTAAGTTATAATTTTGTTATTTAAATAGTATTGATAATTTATTGATAACTGAGCTATAAAATAATTAAACATATGTGAGTGATAGGACTCATATTCACTCATTCAACCAATATTTACCGAAAAACCGAAAAGTGTTCTCAGTGCTAAAGATATCTGGAATAAAATACTTTCTGTTGAGAATAACAAAAAGAAAAATAAAATTGAAATGGCCTAAATGTGTGTTGATTAAATGCATTAAACATTTCTCATATGACCATACATGAGCACCAAAATATGTCAAAAGGTAACTTCAGAGGCGTCCAAATGCATTGATCTTGCATTAAAGAAAGAAAGCAAATCACTTCCTGTGGGATTAATTTGACCAACAACAAGCCAAAATTTGAACTTCTACCCATATCTTCCACCTGTCTATAACTTGTGGTTGCTGGGTTGTCTGTAGTTTATCTGTTGTATATATCTGTCCCTGTTGTCTATATATGTATGTATTCCCCTAACAAAGAATTTTGCTCATATTTGTTGAACAGCACAGAAAGCATTTCATAGGGAAGCAGTGAGGAAACATCTTTCCCTCACCCAGGCCACTGTCAGACAGATGAGAAATGGGGATGCTCTCCTACGCTCACGACTTCAGGCTGACTCACCCACACCTGATCTAACAGGGTTAGCTCTATTGTACCTCTCTGGCAAGATGCAGGGTCTGCTCTCACAAATATTGCAGCTGGTGAGAGTCAGGGACAGCTCTCCCTCTCCTATGGCAAAGCTTTTATAGAGTTCTATAAGGGATGAATTTATTTACTCCAGCTGACTCAAGGCATTCAGTACTGCAAACATAGCATCCCCGTGGACACCTGGATCCCCTCTAGAGCCAAATCTCTGGCCACCCCTAAACTGGCTCCCTTAATGTAGATATCTTCTTCCCTGCTCCTATATCTGTCCTTCTTCCATCTCCACCCTCCCACTCCCCCAAGCTCTCTTCAGTCTTTCCTTTCTCCCTTCTCTCTCCCTCCTCTTCCCTTCCCCCACCTTCACCCCAACCTCTATCCCAACCCCCATGCTCCCAACTTTTTCCCAGTAATCTTATTTTGAGAGTCTTATGTATGTCAGCCTGGACTTGCTGTGTCACAAAGAACAATCTGGAATTTCTGATCCTTTTGTCACCATGTCCTAAATACTGAGATTACAGACATACATTGGCATATGACTGGTTTACATAGTACCATGCATGGAAACCAGAGTTTCAAATATGATAGTGAAAACAATCTACCAACTGAAATAGATTTAAGGCCTCAATTTCACTCCTTTCCCCCCCCCCAACTAAATGGTTCATTTTGCTATTTCAGAGCAATGGTAAATATATTTTAAAATAACCTCTTCATCTTACTTATCATGTAGTACTTCTAAAAGGAAAAGAAAAAAAAACACACTTTAAGCCTATGATAAGTAATGTGTTGAACACAGCATGCACTTAGTAGCCACACATGGCTCTCAGCAGAAAATTAATTAAGACAGTAGGCTCTCACTGTCAGTTCAATTGAGGGTGTAGATTTAAGCACCTATTAATGACAGGTAATGTGCCAACCTGCTCTTGTGAAACCCACTGACACAAAGTAAATATTTACCGTAGGAAATGTGTGTTGAAATGGCAGTAGGGAACTGGATCTATGAGATGACAAAAATAACTAGGAGTTAGTTCAATGAATGGGTCATGGTTTTATAATAAAAAAAGAGATTTGCCAACCCAGAGAAAGGCTTGCAGCAGACAACAAACAAGTAAACAAACAGAACCTGGGGATTGTATAGAAATAAAGAAGTCCCCCGACAAGTCATTCTTCAGGTACTCCTTGGGGATCTAAACATGCCTAGCTGACTTTTAGGCCCTGGAGATGAACTTTAGCCAATGAAACAGACAGAAATCTCTGCTTGAAAAAGCACGCAGTCTAATGGGAGATGATTTTTAAAAATAAATGTGCCAAATGTCAGATGTTGTTAAATCACTTAGAGGCAAAGGAAAACAGTGTGGAATTCCATGCCATGGTAAAGCAGGGCTTACAATTTAGAAGAGGGATCCAGGAGGCACTCAATGAGAAGGCGACAGTTAAATAAGCCTGGCTACACAAAGACAGTGAGCATAAAGGTATCAGCTCGGCTGCGGGATACCAGGTGAAAAAGACACTTTGGTGGGAGCAATTTTGTGTAACCATTTTAGAAGCGTAGTAGCACATTGACCTTCTAGAAGAGTTGTTGTTGTATAAATTTTAGTTACCAAAGAAAATAAAAGGCAAGAATCTCTTACCAGACATAAAAAGATAAAAAAGTCTACCTTTATATTCTAAGTGGTATTTATAAAATTTGAATGGATGATAAACTTTGTAAAGCAAATTATTTCTCTGTGCCTTTAAAGTAATATTTAAATATTTAAACTAAAGTGTGGATACTCAAAATACAAAAACTTCAATTACATAGGTATTTCTATATAAATTGACCTTTTTAGATTTTAAATTTTTTTATAGGAAACATTGTGATATTTTATTCAAGTTATTACTTTAAGGTAAATGACATTGGCTGTTTTAAAGTTAGAATCCAGTCTTAGCAAGTGTTCTAAGAGTCTTACAGATTAATATTCTAATATAATCAGAAATAGTGAAAGCAGTGTGATTAATAATTCAGCAATGAAGAAAACAAAATGATTGCTCCAAGTATTTCACAGTCTAACTTTGACAAATGAGGCCCATGGGGGAAATAGGATGACCAGGAGGTGCTGGAATTGGATACATACATCCATTGCTACATTACAGCTTGCTGATCCATGAGGTCTCAAAGCAAACACATATCACCAGAGATCAGCAGCTCCCCAGAGGGCTATGTGTACATGTGCAAAAATAACGGAATCTGAACACAAGTGTNAAAATATAAATACTTAGATGAATGAGTATAATCTGAGATTTTATAGCAATGCTATAGATCAAGGAGAAAAACCACATTCTTTTCCAAGAATATTTTAGTTATGAAAGTGCCAGCAAATTTGTTATGTTATTTGTGCACAGACAGGCATTCTTAACCGGTTATGTGTATAACACTAGTGTGTAAGCATTTCAAAGAATGGACTGCTGCTGGTATGTGCTTCCTGTTGAAACTGAGAGTGATACGAGATGTGTGTGTGTGTGTGTGTGCATGTGTGTGTTCCTAAGGACTGACTAGAAGGTTTCACACATGCCAAGAAGCATGCACATTTTTGACTATGAGCTACAATCAACGTTTTTTTGTTGTTGTTGTTGAAGACTAGGTTCTCTCTAAATTGCCAAACTTGCCTTTGAACTACTTCTGTAGCCTAGATAGGCCTTGAATTTTCAGTCCTCTTGTGTTAACTCCTAGGAGCTGGGATTAGAGACTTGCTTTAGCAGATTTACCATTTAGAATTAATAATTTTATTACTGTGAATTACTCAATCATTTACCAAAAATATTATAAAGTTAAATCTTCCAAAATAATACAGTTTTTTTCTTTTTTTTTTAATTTGAAGCTCTGTTTTTTTTTTTTTTTTTTTTTTTTTTTTTGTGAAAAGGAAAAAAAAAAGTTTCCGCCTCCTCCCAGCCTCCCCGGGGANAAAGGAAAAAAAAAAGTTTCCGCCTCCTCCCAGCCTCCCCGGGGATTTGATCCTACTTCACGTTCCGGCTTGGTGGGAGCCTAGCCAGTTTGGATGTTCACCTTCCTAGACATGGACGGAGGGGGGAGGACCTTGGACTTTCCACAGGGCAGGGAACCCTGACTGCAAAATAATACAGTTTTACTATAGACAATAGAATACTTAACCACTCCCATAATTGTTGAAGATGTGCTTTAGTCAAAAATTTAAGTCTTAAAATATTCCAAGTCTGAGGGTAAATGAATTGGAGATGCATTTTGAACTGTGTGCATTAATATTATTCAATACTATCTCTCCAAAATACACAAAGCCATCTCTTTTATGGCCAAGTATGGGTATCCTCACATATACACTACCCAGAATTGTGTGTGGATGTGAAAATGGTTGTGTACACATTTGCATCAGTATGTGTTCTTTCCAAATTAGCTTAGCTAATTTTCTAACATTATAATTGTTCTACTAATTAAACAGTTAATTTTATTTATCAATATTGGCATTTATGTTGACTTTTCTGTGCATGTGTGAAATTGAATTCTGAGATACAAAGTATGTTTGATTTATAACATGTGAAAAAAACAGAGGGACTTTGGTGATCATAGCTAAAAGAAATTGTTTTTCCTTTCTACACAGCTTGCAGACCAGGGTTCTATAAAGCCTTTGCTGGGAACACAAAATGTTCCAAATGCCCTCCACACAGCTCAACCTACGTGGAAGCAACTTCCGTCTGTCAGTGTGAAAAGGGTTACTTCAGGGCAGAAAAAGACCCACCTTCTATGGCATGTACTAGTAAGTCTACACATTTTGTTTTAGAACATTCTGTTGCTAATCTTGTTGTCTATGTTTTAAACTTTTAAATACAAGTAAATGTGCAACATCCTGCACCAATAAAGGTGTCTTGGGTAAGAGGGAAAAGTTCCCCTCATCATAGTCCCTCTTCAAATAGTTGTTAAGAGTCGGAAATGTTCCCTTTTCAAAACTGCTACAGATCCTTGCTATCTAAATGCTGACCTAAATTTGAGGTACTGCAAATTTTCCCAAGCTAAAACTTGTCTTGAAGAAATTAAGAATGGATAAGTAAAACTTCTGCATTTTCTTTAACCAGAGTAAGACATATTGTTAGAGAAGTATGAAATGTGTCACTTGAGGGAGAGTCCAGAGGAAAATTCGTAATTGATTCTTTGTGACTAACCTGCAAACAAACTTGGGTTTACTTGATTTTTGACTTTAAAGGAGGGCATTTTTGAATTTGTACACATTCCCCCTCCCTCTGTCTCTATCTCTCTCTTTCTCTCTCTCTCTAGCAGCAGGATATCCAGATTAAATTTTAAAGTCGTTTTAATGAATGTATGCAGAATTTTAAATTATTTTTCCCTATTATTTAAGAATTGTGTAGTGTCTAATGTTGTAATAAGATTGGCGGGCTGGGCTGCATCCCACCACCTGGCTAGCTTTACCGGAAATAATTACACGAAAACTGTATTCTTTTAAACACTGCCTGGCCCATTAATTCTAGCCTCTTATTGGCTAGCTCTTGCATATCGATCTAACCCATTTCTAATATCCCTGTAACACCACGAGGTGTCTTACCAGGGAAGATCTTAACCTGCGTCTGTGTCCAGTAGGAGAATCATGGCGACTCCTTGACTCAGCTTCTTTCTTCCAGCATTCTGTTCTGTTTACTCCGCCTACCTAATTTTATGTCCTATTAAAGGGCCAAGGCAGTCTCTTTATTTAACCAATGAAATTAACACAAAACAGAAGACTCTCCCCCATCAGTCTATACATTTTAAGAGGTGAAAATAATAATATACCCCTAAAATAGAAATGTAATGTCATTTTTAGTTTTAAAACCTTTTGGGAATCATAAGCAAGATATTATAGATGAAAGTTTACTCTTTTGGATGATGAATAGGTGCTGAAATGTTAAATACAGAATTATTTAAGTCATAGGAAAATGATGATAATTTCTCATTTTTAAGTTTTCCTAAGTTTAAAGCATCTCTTTTAAAAATTTGTTATATTTCATTCTTTGAGAATTTGATACATAAATATAATAGAATACTATCACATTCTCCAATAAGACTATACCTTTCCCTAACTTCCCTAAATGCTCTACAACCAACTTAATATTATCATTTTCTCTTTCTTCTTTTCCTCATTCCTTCCTTCCTTTCTTCCTTTCCTTATCTTGATAACCCACTATGTTCAATTGTTCTTGCTTACATGTACTTGGTTTAGGTCTCATCCATTGGAAAGCTGGACAATTACCAATGGCCCCAAACTCAAAGACAAACCAACCTTGTTTGGTATAATGTTTGGTGATTTTTGCAGTATATAAATGCTTTGTGTCAACTGTTATTTATTTTCTTTTCTGAATGTGAATATAATATATTAAAATTGTATCATTAGAGTGCTTCCAGCTCAGTTTTTCTCTCCAATAATGCAAATATTTGGTTGGGTCTACTGTTCATGTTGAATTAATTCTTTATTATATTTAGATTTATGATACATATTCTCATGTGTTCAATTTTCCTTCTACCACTTAAAGTAACTATATCAGGAAAATTTGTGAAAGATCCCCATTTCCACTTGCATTAGAAATATCTTTGTCCTGGTATTCACTTCACTTGATTCTGTTGCATACTTAGTCTTGAAACTATATGTGGTCTGTCCTAACATCCTGGTGCATTGAAGTCACCATGGCCAAGAAACTGAGGGAAAGAATGGATTTATTTCAACTTGGTAGGTGTAGCTAATCATTGAGTGAAGTCAAGGCAGGAGTTCAAACTATATTTTTAAGCAAAAACCATGGAGTAGTGCTGTTTGCTGCCTTACTCCCGTGTTCATGCTTAATCAACTTTCTTAAATGGCTCAGGATCCCCTTTACAGAGAATGATGCCATTCATGGTAAGCTGAATCTTTTTTGCCAAATAGCAGTCAAAATAATCCCTTATAGACATACTCAAACTACAAAGTGAACTAGACAATTCCTCAGGCGAGGTGTTTTTATTAGATGACTCTAGGCTATGTCAAGTTGACAAAGTTAACTAGGGCATGACTTTTGGTCTGAAACATTGAAAATCTCCGTTTTGCCCTCCTAATCTACTATTTTCTGTTATGACAGTGGTAGTTTTTTTTTTCCCTCTGTTATATGTTGACTTTATTCATGTTTGACTGCCTGTCAATACATCCTTACTCTCTCTCATGTTTAGAACTGTCATCTGTAGGTGGATAGTGTTGAATATTTTGTATCGTCTCTGTCTTGTGTTCTGAGGACCAGTCTTCTAGCCTGAAGGTTAAGGGGTTAAGGAAACTGACCACCAGTAAACCCCACAGAGACCTCCCTACTCTGCTGACTGCATATATCTTGCTGTCTTTGCAAATGTCCTAATCCTCTGACCGCATATACTATACTGTCTTTGCAAACTTCCTGGATTTAAAATATGTCGAGTCTTAGTAACAGAATTTCCAGCATTTGTAGCATTCTCTCCTTTAGACTTTCTTAAAGGATGCTTACATTCCACTTTTGCAGGATCGAGTGTCAGTTCTTAGGACAGTTGTTTTCTGACCAGTCTTACATAAATGTCACCTGTCCTACTTAACCTTTTTTGTCATCACGTATTATGTTTTATGCACTATATAGTTCTTTAAAATCATTGCTTTATTTCTCTACCTTCTTCACTATTTACTGTCATTTTATCACACAAGACTACAAGAGTCGTGGGACCAATGATGTTTTTTGCAGACGGCAACCTCACAGCTTAGAATAGTACCTGGCATACAGAAGGACCTTAATATTTGATGAACAGAGGAACTAATCAGTCCAAGCTTAACTTGACAGATCCAGTTTTATTACTCTCGACCTTCACTTCCTCATCCATCCTTGCTCTGTTTTCCTTACCTTGATGAACCTTCATTTATCCATGCTTTCAAGACAGGAGCCCTAATTGCACTTTAAACCAAGACCATCCAAGGTCAACAGTCATCTTTCTCCCTCCAATGTTAATTGTATCAAGATGTTTGAAACAGTCCGACTATACGTTATTAAATTAAATTATTGAACTATTTTTCAATCAACTGTTAGTCAAAGGTAGTAAAAAGAAACAAGTGAAATATGAAATGTTTTCTCTGATATATATTTCATGGGGGATCTGTAGAGACTACCCCATGACATCATAAAAACAGTATAACTCTATGATCCTAGCACTTTTACTTTGGTTTTTCTCATGACTTTAAATCATCAGGATGTTGCTTCTTTAGAGCAACTAAACAGGTGCTGCAGGATTTACCCATTTAATTTACATTGCATCCTTATAAAGGATTCAACTGAATGCGAAGCACGCATGTGCACACTTCCTCAGCACACCAATAAATATACTGTTTGTATTGTGATTGTCTGAACATGTAATCAAATACCCTACTAGTAGAACAGTTTCTGGCAACTTCATTCTTAATACACAAGAAAATATCATGTCTTTGTATTTGATATACAATGACAGTGATTGGGAAAGAAGCATAAAACTCCAATTTGCTTTTTTCTCTAAAGCGAATACTGTGAAGTGTGGTTTCATTATTGCTGGAATAATTGGCCACTTCAGAGAGTCATTATTCTTTCATTCTTATTTTGAGTAGAATAAATGCTTCTTGCAGTACAGCAGGTGGATTCTTTCCTTTGAGCCTCTCTAACATTTCCTGGATGGGTGCAGGGGCCTCTCAATCAGACCCCTCTGCTCTGCTTGCCTACTCCTTTCTAAGCCTTCTTTTTATTGTTTCCTAATACTCTTTCCTGGAAACTCATGTTCTTGGGTCTTGACTGTTCACATCACAAAAATAAAGCACAAAAGCAAAGGTGATGGTCGAGCTGACTCACTCTAAACAATGTCGCAGCTATAATTTTGCAAAAGTTGAAAAGGAAGAATGAAAGCAAAACTTTTTTATTATCTCTAGCAGGCTTCATTTTATACTGTATCTGTTTTGTTATAGAATGCATCTCTAAATAGGTACTTAGTATATTGAAATATTGTAATTTCAGAAATTTACATGGCCATATGCTAAGCAATAGGTACCTGCATTAACCAATCCCAGCTTCAACAGTAAACAAGATGTCATCTGAGTTTCACCAAATCTTCTAGCCTCAGTCACCTTAATAGATATTTCAGCAGAGTTTCATTCACTAAATGATCTGCAAAATCAATCTTTATTGGAAGAGTTACTAAGAGGAAAGTCTACTAGTGATGGAGAAACAGTAAAAACCTGTTACTATTTTGAATTTCTTCATGGCTTCTGCAATGAAACATGGAAAAAATGTCCCCCTTTATACTATCAAATTGCACATAGGACACTAATAATCCAAAAGCACCCATAGTTTTAAATAAAACATTCATAATTATCCCATTATATGTTTTCCAGAAGATTTATTAATCTTTGTTAATTAGTCATTAATCATTTAATCATTAATTTATTTTGTTTGAATCTACTCATGCCTTGTTTTACTTTGTTCTGCCAAATTATGGTAAATTAATCCATCTGTATTTTTGTCTTCCAATTTTAATGGATGCTATTTTAAAGTAATTGAATCGAGTAAGAAAAGGGCTCAATGTAAGTGTACATTTTTCTTTCACGGTAATAGGTAAATTGTTTAACGCCAAAGACCTAAAAACAATTCATTTTCTGGTTTATATTTTTCCATTTATTTCTGATGTGAACAGCTATAATACATTTCTGTAATTCATTTTTGTAGCATTACCATTGATTACATGAAATAAGTCATGTGAAATACTAAGGAC